GAACTCCTCTTCGAAATAGCAAGGAAGAAGAAATCTCTCACTTTCCCTCCACTCTTACAATCTCTCGAAGAATTCCTCACAATCTCTTCACTCTAATGGAACCTTTCTAACCTCCAGGCTCTCTAGAGCTCTCACAACCTCCTCTCTTTTCTCCTCGTTCGGCCAAAATCTTTTCTTTAATGATGTGGATGAGTTTTCCCAAGAGTTTCTTAAGCACCCCTCCAAATTCGGCCTTATCTATTGCACAAGTACACATAACCGTCGATCTCGCCGTCGGCGGCCTCGATGGCGCCGTCGGCGGCCCTCTGGAGATTTTTTCCTTTAGGCTCAGGAAAAGATTAGCCTCGGGAAAAGCTCGCCGTCGGCGCCCTAGTTCAAATCTCTACATTTTGATCATTTTTGCTCCAAATCCGCTCCTTTTTGCATCTTTTTGCTCCATTAATTCTAATTCAGCATTCCTGTAACAAAACGTCAAAAATATCTTTCTTTAAAGTGCAATATCATCAAAAACAGTATAAAATAGGTATGAAAATCTCAACATATTTTCTTCTGATCAGTACGTCTATCGTACGCAAATTTTTTTCGTAGTAGAGACTTTTTACCTGACTTTTTAATTATTTTTTGCGTGAAATAAAATTTCCTACGAGGTTTTTAACTAAAAAACGACGGGTAATCATTTGAATGCATGAAATTCACAAAAGAGTAACTTGGATGGTTCCGAGAAGAATAAAATTAATGAAAATTCTCAATGATTAAATGTTAGTTTGGTTGATTATATATAATTAAAATTGGTTTTATTACATTATAATTAGGACTAATATTAATGCCATAATAAATTTTGCGGGAGCTACAATTTTAAAAGTTAATGGTTAGAGCACTAAGTAGCAGACTAATCAAATATAGAACTTCCATCGCCTGCGCTGCCTGAACACAACAATATCACCACTGTGGGAGATGCAACTGGAGTGGCACTTCGGTAATTTACGGTAACTTGAAGGGGCATTCCATTCGACTATCGATGGAGCAGTTCTTATTGCCGCTGGGCCACTTAGGGAAGAATGTGTCACCCGTCGCCGGTCATGGGAACTGGTCGCTCGTAGCCGGCTTAGAGAGAGAGAGAGAGAGAACTCGATTCGAGAGTGAGATCCAAGAGAGAAGAAGTAAGGGGGCGGACGGAGACGGCCTATGGCGGATCTCAGTTCCACGGCGAACTTGGATAGGTCTCTTCCATGGTCTTGGACTTTATAGATCTCAGCAGTACTTCATTTCTTCTTTTTTTTTCCACTACGACCGGTCGTTCTGTTAGGTCTAACCTCTCCGATGATTCTCTTTACTCGGTTGCTTTGGGGATCCGAATTTTGGCTGAGATCCAGCGGTTTCCATCATCTTTGTTAAGCGATGGGCGTTGGCGGATGCTAGGGCCTCTGTGTTTCTGCTGCTCTTTGAGTACTACTGAAAATTTTGTGGATTTTTCGTGTGTCTTTACGGGTTCCAGTAGCTTGGAGAAGGTGTCTTCAAATTATTTGTCTTAGATTAAGTGGAGGTATGCAGTTTGTTTCAACTTTCCCTCTTCGTTTTCCTTCAAAAAATGCAAATCAAAGCATCGAGCTAGATTACCTTGCACTGGCATACTCATTATAAAACCAAGAATAGGTGGAGGTGCAGGAGATGTTGTTTGTGATCGTGGTGTAAGGGTATGTTGGAATCGATTCTAGTCCCCTCCTCCATTTAGTTTTAATACTGCCAATTTTCTGAAGCACGGATGGAGGACCTCTCTAAATATTCCCACAGTCCCGCCCACCTTGCTGTTGCTCGTCGAGATCATGTTGCCCTCCGGCGGCTGGTGTCCAACCTTCCCCGCCTCCCAAAAGCAGGCGAGGTTAATACAGAGGAGGAATCCATTTCTGCTGAGCTCACAGCTGATGCGGTATCTTCTATAATTGACCGTCGGGATGTTCCTCACCGCGAAACGCCTCTCCACCTTGCCGTACGGCTTCGTGACCCCATCTCCGCTGAGATTCTCATGTCAGCTGGTGCTGACTGGTCTCTTCAAAATGACCAAGGTTGGTCTGCTCTACAGGAAGCTGTGTGTACCCGAGAGGACACGATAGCAATGATCATTGCCAGGCACTACCAGCCCCTGGCTTGGGCTAAGTGGTGCCGCCGCCTGCCTAGGATCATCTGCTCCACTGGTCGGATCCGTGATTTTTATATGGAGATCACATTCCATTTTGAAAGTTCGGTGATTCCTTTCATCGGCCGTATTGCCCCATCGGATACCTATCGGATATGGAAGCAGGGATCAAACCTCAGGGCTGACATGACTCTTGCTGGCTTTGATGGTTTCCGAATACAACGTTCAGACCAGACCTTCCTTTTTTTGGGTGATGGTGCTTCAGGGGAGCCACTTAATCCTTCAGTATCTCAGGGCTCATTGATTGTGCTTGCTCATAAGGAGAAGGAGATAACAAATGCACTTGAGGGAGCTGGAAACAAGCCCACAGAAGCTGAGGTAGCTCATGAGGTTGCTATGATGTCACAAACTAATATGTACAGGCCTGGTATTGATGTTACACAGGCAGAGCTTGTCCCTCATTTGAATTGGCGAAGACAAGAGAGGACAGAAATGGTTGGCAACTGGAAAGCAAAAGTGTATGACATGCTTCATGTGATCGTAAGTGTGAAGTCAAGAAGAGTTCCTGGTGCAATGACTGATGAGGAACTGTTTTCAGCAGATAATGATGAAAGAGTGGCTAATAATGATGAGTTTGATGATGTATTAACGGCTGAGGAAAGGATACAGCTAGATTCCGCCCTTCGTATGGGTAATTCAGAGGGTTTTGATGAGGATGAAGTGAATGGGAGTTCTGACTACAATAGTAACGCTGAGAACAGTGGCCCTTCAAAGGAGAGAAAAAGCTGGTTTGGTTGGAACAATAAAAAGGCTTCTAAAAATAATGCAGGTGAGGATGCTGAGGACTCAAAGTTACCCTCTAAATTTTCAAGATCAGCTCAAGAGAATGGAAATCATAAACACGAGTCATCAAGGGAAGAGGTAGGGGATGTTAAAAAGGGTAAAGAAAAGACCAATTCTAAGATGAAGAAAAAGAATGGAGCCACAAGTGAGCCTAATAAGCATGAAAGTGAGTACAAGAAGGGGTTACGCCCAGTTCTTTGGTTGACGCCAGACTTCCCTTTGAAGACCAGTGAGCTTCTTCCATTGCTTGACATTTTGGCAAACAAAGTCAAAGCTATTAGGAGGCTTAGGGAGCTTTTGGCGACCAAGCTCCCACAAGGAACATTTCCAGTGAAGGTAAAATTTGTATAAATTTTGAATGTCTTGAATTATGTATATATTTTAATTATCTTTCTCCTTCTATTGTACTTCTGGTTATTTAATTGCATTATTTTTACATAGTAATCAGATTGCCAGTTCAAAATCTTATATATTATGAAACCATTATTCTCTATATAATTCCCTTTTTTAAAAAGCACTAAATTCAAAAACAGTATGCAAAGTTAAATTGAAGATAGGTTTGTTTCTTTCTTTCATTCTTAAGCAAGCCATAGAACTTGCTATTATGTTGAATATTGTACTAATTGATATCTTTTTGTTTTATTTTCTACGAAGCTTTCATCTTAAAGATGTTATATTTTTAGTTATAAAGCTTGCCAATATTTTGTAGGATTTTTCAAGAAAATGTCACCTTTGTTTGTCCTTCCTTTTTTTAAAAAAATTAGAATTAGAAGAGTGTATGTTACAAAATAGGAGATTTTTTATTTGAATTTTATGCACGTATTCTATGTGAAAAACAAGGTAAGAAGCTATAAATAAATAAGTAGATAAACAACTATCAAAAGAAGAAACAAAATCTAAAAATAAGTCCTTATTTCTAGAATCTATAATTAAATGTACAATACAAATTAAATGCAGCTATCTATGAATTTTTTTACTATTATAGATGGAATGCTACTATCTTTAAATTGTTGGATGGTTGCAAATAAGATTGTTTTCGATTAATCGTTAATTATTTTTACACTCCCACTCTAATTAATTTTTATATATTTATCATTCCCATCTTTTTAATTATGTTCTTAAACTCATTCTTTGCAAAGCCTTAGTGCCATAGTGGAGACATTTGTCATTTGAGAGTTTGGAACATAATCTAGTTGATGATGCCCAACTTTTATTAGAACGAAGGAAGATTTACATACATGCCACTCGATTCCTATGTATTTACATATCTAACACCTAAATATCTAACACCTAATACATATCTAACACCTAAAATTCAATTTTTACATGCATACCACCTTACCTATGCATGAACATGTGTTTTTTACTTTTAAAAGTTAAAATGGTTGTGTTTTTTATGTGATGTGAAAGATTTGGTTGTTTAAATGTAGAGACAAAATTTAGGTGTTAAATATGTAAATATAGACAAATTTTTTGGTTGTTTAAATGTAGAGACAAAATTTAGGTGTTAGATATGTAAATATAGACAAATTTTTTGTTTAAAGAGAATTTGGCAGTATGTATGTAAGTTCGCCTAAAACTAATTATGGATAAAGCTTTAGGGTGTGTTTGGGGCATTGGTGCAGCATCGCACCGCAATTTTTAGTATTTTGCAAATTTGCATTTTGTCTCTGTTTTCAAAAAGTTGCAACTGCCCTGCGGTGGCTACTAGAAAGATGTCGTCTGAAATTTTCAAAAAAAAAAAAAATTGTGATTGCCACCACAGTTTGTTGAACAGTAGTTTCTTCTTTAATAGTTTCACAACTGCTTTTTTAAAAAACTGCAGCTATGCCAAACTGTCCCTTAGTGAGGATATGTGCAATTTAAGAGTTTGTTGTAACACAAATTTTGTTGGGACTAGTCCACTTTTTTTTTTTTTTCTAGAATGAAATGTTATTAAATCTCAATATATTTAGCGATTCCAAGGTGGACAATTTTTTTTTAATAATTGCAGCAGCATGGTTGACACGACATTTTGAGAGATTTATTTTACTTAATGTAGTGTTCTTCATACAATTTTTTTAGCCACAATTCTTTGCAAATGCCAAATTTCGTTGCCTTATGTTAGGCTTAAATTTCGCGCCTTGAGACTCTGGATTTCCTTATGTCTCCATTTAACCAAGTTTCATCGTACATAAGTAGAGGAAGTAGAGGTGGATCTTTGGTCCGATGCATTTTCATCTCAATCAATATTTATGAAAAATTCAATTGCTTAGTTGGAAAACCTCTTAAGTTCTTATATAATAGCTAATTTTTTGGTTGAGCTGCCTTAGAATATGTTCAATAGCTTTTATGTGGTTTTTAGCATGATTATTCATGTACTGTCTAAAAATAATAACATGGAACCCAACACTAAAACCAATGAGAGAGGTGGATCACCAACAATATGTTGATTCATATCTTTATCAACAAGCTTGTTATCTATGATGAACCTATTTTTCTTTGTTGGTTCCATTGAAGGCTTGCTAGTTTATATTCATCCATTTATATTTTTTGAAGTCGACAAAGAATATACTTTGTAAAATAACAATACCTTATTTTTATCATGCCTCTTCATATCAAGAAAATCTTTAAATTTTTCTCATTTTTTACCTCAAATTTCTTTTGCTAAAAGCTTTTTTATTCTAGCTAGCTTTTCCTTGAGATCAACTAGCAATATTATATTGTCCACAAGCATAATTGTAAACATCTTTTTTTCTTTTTTTAAGTGCTTTATAAAGAAACTATGGTCAGATTAATATTTCGTGTACTCATAATTTTCAACATATTTGGAGAATTTGCCAAATTAGTCATTAGAGATTACTTGAGGTCATATAAAGTTTTTTCTAATTTTATATGCCTTATTGGTATTTTCTATGATCTTCTAATTTAAGTGGGATCTCCATGTATAATTTTGTTACTCAAGATCCCTATTAAGGAAAATATTGTTAGGGCATGGGCAGCTTTTTCACTGTCTTGTTTCTTAAACCATCACCACAGCTGTGTTTGACTACTATTTTTTTGCTGCTTTCTAAAAAATTTTGTGGTGGGAATTGTTTTTTCTCCTGAAGTTTAATTGTAAGAAAGCTGCTATTTGATTTTTTCTAAAAAAATATCTATAATACCCACAACAACTTTAAGAAATATTCTTATTTCACAACTTTGTAATGACATTTGCAAAAATTTACAACAAAAGGCCTTTAATATCAAGACGATGTAGAGGATAGCTCAAATTTTTGACAATGAACGAGCGAAACTCAAATTTTGTTGAGATGGGCAACATGAGAGAAATTTTCTTGATAATCAATATCATATTATTGGATGTGCTCTTCTGTTGCGCTTTAAATTTATCCATGCTCACATTAAATTTTTATTTAGCAATAATGACACATTTTTTATCAACCTTTTTTTTCTTGTTGGGGTTCAAAAACTTATGAGGCATGGGTTTCTTCTATTTTAGTTTTCTTCAATTCGAAACTTTAAGAGCCTCGTGAACATTTCTGTAATTTGTATTTTATCAAGAGAAGTGATAAAAGAATAAAATCTAATGAAAGCTATTTATAAGTTATGAAATGATAGATTGTGAGTTTGGTGCATGACCTCGTCAACTTCCTCAAGCAACGGGCAATAAAGATTGTTATCATCATCTATGAGTTTATTCTCAATAATCTGTACTTATTTATTCCTTGAATTAGATTCAAATTTTCTGAATGTGTTGAAGACATGTTGATTGCTTCCCTCAGCTCTTTTTCGCCTCTTAGTATAGAGATGAATCGTAATCTTCATAGATTGGGTGTATTGATAAGGCTATGTAGTTTATGGTTTTAGCGAATCAATTCTGGATTGGTTGTATTGATAAGATGATGAGGGGGTTTATGATTCTAGTGAGGCTTTAATAGGTTATTTGAAAGACAATGAGAAATGTCATTATTTATAGTTTGATAAGAGATGATGGTTCTTCCCTTGAGTTTTAGATTTTGAATAATAAGTCTAGTGTTTTAAGGAAGGTTTTTATGTCTATTGAATTGTATTGAATTGAGAATATTATTTGTACCCTTTTTTATTTGGAGTGCCCAATAAAGATTCCCTTATTATACTTTTGGTTTAATTTTCTTAAACGGTGAGAATGAATTTGAATGTAGATTGAACATATGATAATTTTGCTCTTGTGCATTAAATAAAGGTTTGAATATGAGTTTGAAATCTATTTATTAATAAAATATGTAGCTATTAGGATTGTTTCTCTCCAATGATATTTAGGAACATTAGTGATCTAGCCACCTCTAAGAGATGCGTATTTTCTTGTTCAACAACACCATATTGAAGAGTATCAATAAAGAAGCTTTGGTGGATAATTTCTTGATGTAAGAGATAATTTGCTAAGATTGGTTTGAAGTATTCATTGGCATTTTTAATCTTACGACTTGAAATTTGGAATGAAATTGACTGTAGATCATGGTGTCATAATAGTTAAAATTTTATCCAGCTTCAGCTTTTTGTTTCATTAAGAAAAATTCAACTTCAATAAGTATGATTGTCGATGATGGAAATAAATTATCAAGTTCAATAGACATTTTGTACTCTATATGCTCCCCACACATCAATACGGATTGAAAGAAAAGTTGGGAAGGTTTGGCTAAGATGAAAACCATGAGTGTGTTAGCTAGATGATAAATTTCACACTCAGAAGTCTTTTTAGTTTTTGTTGGTGAAAAGAGAGCGAATTAATTTTTCATGATGATTAAAGTCTGGTGTCTCCTAGTTGATAGTTCTTAAGCTAGATATCATTATCATTATTTGAAATGTTCTTGGAATTTGGAATAGGGTTTTGGTTGATTATGTGTGTTTTATCTAAAAACAACTTTGCTGACAATTTTTTCCTTTTTGTCTGTTCTGAAGAGTCCTCCTAAGATTCTGGAGGGATCATTCTTTAAAGCTTAGAGTTAATGTACGCATCTTTACACTATCAATCATCTTCCTTCAATTCAAGTCCTAAAAGTGACAATTTTTTTCTTGGGCAAATTTGTTGATGGATAATAAGTTGTAATCTATATTAAGCACTTGATGCGCTTGTCATGCCAAATATTTTAAGAAAATGACAGAACACAACTTATTCTGACCGCCTTTAATAGTGATTTACCTGCAATCCAAAAATTATAATGTTTACAGCATTTATTGTAGTTATTTAAAACATTTTTTTATCTTCTATAATTTGATTTGATATTTTCGAGTCTACCATTCAAGTAGTATTCGTGTTGTATACAATGACACATCTAAAAATTTATCTTTATAAGTAATTAAATTCATTCTAGTGATTTTTTAGAATAAGCTTTTGTTGGGAGAGTAGTTTGCTGCTGCTGTTTGTTATCTGAACGGCTAATAAAGGAAGGAGAGGGTTGCTGTGGTTTGTTTTTATCTCTGATTTTGGAATTTTTTAGTCTAGTATTTCATCATTGATATTTCATATTTTGAATATGAAATTTTCTTTTTGAGGGTTATTTTTAACATTATATTTGCTAGATTTTCTACCATTGGCTTCTTCATGACATCTGTCACCATCTTCTTTGCAAAAGGCAGAACCTTAATGTCCTTGGTATTTTCTTAAAAATTTGAATAAGAAGAGAGGAGAGTAGATTAAGAGGTTTGTATAACTGAAATTTGTTTATTTGTTTTGTGTCAAATATAAGATGAGAACTTACACATAAATAGGCAGAAAGTTACCTATAAATGAAGAAATTAAATTGGAAACAAATTTTTAATTATAGAATCTATAATTAATTGCACTTCTTAAATGAAACACATCTTTCAACAATTATTATACATAAAAGTTATTATCCATAGATTATTATATTATTGTGAATGAAAAGTTACTATCTGCATATTGTTGATTATTTTCAACACTTCTGTTTTATGATACTTCTAGCCATGTGTGAAATACATCATTGATGCTGGTGCTTTGATACTATATGAATAAATTAACTTGTCCTCTTTCATTTCAAATGTATAAATGCTGTCCTATTGTTTAATTTACACAGAAACCATGAAAAAATATTGAAAATCTAGCTAAAAAAAAGTATTGGCAAATTGCAATGAGCGGATGATTACTGAAAAGGAGGAACTAATGCAACTCATTGTTGTATTTCCAAGTTCGAGCAGTATATGCTATTAGAATTAACATTGAAAATAAGTAGTTGATTGTTTAATTTACCATTAATCTTGCATCTGTTATGCTTATTGCTATCGATATCAGTTTGTGTGGTAAGAAATATACTAATGGTGCAACTTGAAAATGTTATTGGTCATTTTTACTGGTATTTATGGATCCTATCCATCTAGATTATCCTCCTTGCTTTTATGTCTTAGGTTGTTGTTGATAAATTTAAAATCCTAAAGAGTGGAAAGTGGTTCTGTTGAAAAAATTGTTACTTATGGTTTCCATTTCGTCAGCCGGTCTTATTGAATTTTTATATATTTTTTTGATATAAATGAAATGGCTTGGTAATAATCTAATGTTAGATCTCGGATGCTTGATCCAAAATTAAGGAGAGTGAGCGTTGAGTAGTAAATAATTTATATAAAATGAGCATGCTAAAAAAAAGAAACTATTAAGATAGATATGGTGCAAATCTAGGAAGGATAAATTAAAGAATAAAAAATGGGCTTTGGTGATTTGGACATTTACAACAAAGGATACACAATTCACTCATTAGATGACAGAGAAAATATGTGTGAGAGAATTTGGAAAGAAAAGGGTAGACCTAATGTGACTGATGAAGATTATTTAAAATGATTTGCAGAATAAATTTAACACCTCCTGAAATATTCTGCAGGAGTTGACCTAAGGTTTTTGTACTACAGTATTCTTGTTGCAGGTATGGAGTATATCTGTAGCATTTTGTCTTTGTTCCTCTCAAACAACATAGCTTTCCCGATTTGCTTTTCCATGTAGGTTAATGAGCTCTATTAGTGTTCTTGATGGAACTGTTTGAGTATTAATATTCTACAAACTTTTAGATGATCAATCGATGTCGTTGCTCGTGCGCATATTTCACATATTTCACAGTGAGATGCACTATAGTAGAGCTAAAGACAACTTTTCCATTTCACTTTGGTGGCAGTTTTAAGTTTTCAGAAAGTCTAGGGAAGCATCCATGTGATTGTGTGCAATCTGATATCCCAAGTGCTATTGAAATTCACTAAATTTATTTTTATTACAGTTTTTTAATTTTAGTTAAGATGATAGTGGTCCTAGGGCAATGCTATGTTTCTTTTTTGACCTAGGTGTCAGATGCTCTTGAGGGATAAACTGCTGACGAAATGAGAGAACTGTTTTTGAATTATCACAAGGCCGAAAACTTGTTTATGAGTGTTTTTTAAAATTTTAAAAACAAGTAGGCAACATATTTTTTTTATTTTTAAACTTATTTTAAAATATGAAAAACAAAAATTGATCCCTAACTTGGCCTAATCTATTCTCGCCAACTTTCACTTTTTTTTTTTTTTTTTTTTTGTTCGTGCGAAGCACACTCTTCCCTTGGAAACAATTAAAACTGCCTGTGATTCATTATGCACACTGAACGAAGCAATTTTCTTTTGTCTACGTTGTTTTGGCATGCGACTATTTGGTGAAATGCTCTGAGCTTATGTTTGATTAAATTTATAAAATGTGGAAACATTATAGCTGAGCAGGGAGCAGCCATTTTAAACTATATCCCAAATTTTGTTCAATGTTTAAGTTCCAGCATATTTGGTTTTATCTAAAGTTAAAATACACTTCAGTATGCTTATCATTTATTTTAGTTTTTACTGATGTGATTATGCTGTGATTTAGTGGCCTTTTGTTTGATCTATTTTTCTTGAAAACAGACATGTGAAATATCATTTTCCGTTTATCTTCATTTATTCTATTATGTTCTTAAAGGCAGCACGATACTAAGTCTTGTTGACTTGGATCTTAGGTGGCCATCCCAATTGTCCCCACAATTCGAGTTGTTGTTACATTCACGAAATTTGAAGAGTTGAGTCCCCCCTCTGATGAGTTTGCAACACCACTTTCTAGTCCGACTCACCTTCAGGATTGCAAGGCCAAGTCATCAGAAACATCAAGTTCATGGTACTCATGGGTAAGAGGCGGTCGAGGCGGGCAATCCGGTGATGAAAGTGAAAGCAAAAACTGGAAAGATGAGATTGACCCTTTCACCATACCATCAGATTACACCTGGGTTGACGCGAATGAAAGGAAGCGAAGAATGAAGGCCAGGAAGGTCAAGAACAAGAGGGTGATTTCTGGTAAGAAGCAGGCGTCGAGAAGTGCAGATGGCCAACAACTCGATGGCGTTGAGGATTAGGTAACCCTTATATATATGCAGTGAAACGACATAGATGATTTGCATGGTTTATATGTAAATCAGTGACTCAACGTCGGACATGACAATGCTGATCTCCGGTGCTTACATATTCTTAGCTTTCTTGTGTATTGTGGGTGTTTTGCCGTCAACACAAACTATTTATTCTGTGATGTAGGTCCAAAAAGGCCGCCTTCCCCTAATTGTTATATCCATGTAGTCTTCTTCTTTAAAGAAGTTGGTGATTCATTTGTTTGGAAGGGAACATGAGCTTATATTGTGATTCATTTGTTTGTTTTTCTCACACTATAGGCTTGATTTCTGCTCTTTTTTATGAGTTTTTGCAAGAGGGATATTCTTCCTAGCTCTTGTGATTTGCTTTTAAAATTATTGCTTCTGATCTTCTTCTTAAATCAATCTCTAAGATATTCAGGCTTGTAAGTTGGAACGACAATTGAGCTTTCCTTTGGCCTTATTGATGCATTTTATTTTTAGCCTTTTTTTTTTTTGGTTTTATCTATCAAGTTTTTGTTGCTGCTTAATGTTGTATCCTTTTTCAATGAATAAAATATGCCTTGTTTTATGTTTTAAAGCAAATAATGAATGCTAATTTTTTATATTATTATCATTAAAATTATATATAATATGTTCAGTATTTATTCTTTTAATTTCAAACTTTCTGTCTTCTAAATACTTGCTCTAATTTTTTTATTTTTTATTTACTTATTTTGATAGGTATTTTACAAAATATGAGTGTATCAAAAACCACATTTTGAGGCATAATCCCATGAGTATAATTCTCTAAAATTAATACTTGGTTGTTCTTAATGGGTTAAAGTCTTTTTTAACTAATACCACATATCATCAAGTTGTTAACAGTTGAGCTAACTTTTGTGAAGATGATTTGGAACATAACATCTTATAACCATAAAAAAGCTCTCAACTTAGTCACATGGTATATATATATTAACATGTGACTAAGTTAATTCTTAATAAAAGTTAGCTCAATTGTTAACAACTTGATGATATGAGGTGCTAGTTAAACAATACTTTAACCCATTAAGAATAACCCATTAAGAACAACCAATTATTAATTTAACAACCTATGTTGCTCGTG